CTCTGCGCTGCAATACATCTTGGGCGTGTCCCTTTCCTCAGCATGATCCACGCACTGACCCCTGACCTCCACCAGTGAGGATGAGTCAGCCCCCGTCACCACGTCGGTGAAAACTGCCAGGTTGCGGCTCACACCCACACAGCGCTTATAGTACACCCGGACAGAGGTGAGGGCTATGCAGGCACCGATGTCTTGGAAGGCCAGGTAGAAGCCTCGGCGGTTCAAAGGTCCAACACCTCGCACCTGTGAGCAGAGGAGAGTGGTCAATTCCACAAAACATCTTCGCTGACAGAGAAAATATTTCTCTCCTATCAAACTTTCAAACAGCTTTGGCTTGGATCAGCTGCATTAATTCGGACAATAACAGACTCAGCTTAAAAAAAATTCTTGCAAAAACAACATCCGCGTGTTTTGGCTCTGGAGACTTCAGACATTTCTCAGGTTTTGACATTCAGATTTAAATCTGCTGCTGCTGTGGAACGACATGATTAGATATCTTTGCTGCTGGTTGGAGTAAGGCTTCTGCAGCAGCCGTTTATCAACTGTTCTGCTTCAAGATAATAGTTGTGTGTTTATACGGAGGCTATTCTTACATGTAATAACAAACATGTTTTTGTAAATGTAAGTCATAAAATTATAAAATTTCATAAACACATGAAAGATGATTACAAATTTTAGTTAGAAATAGGAAAAGAAAAGATTTATGTGAAAGTAGCTTCAAATAAAAGGATCTTTAGCTGTTTTTTAAGTGTCCAGACTGTCACTGCTACGTAAGGATACAGGAAGATCATTCCAAAGTCGGGGTGCAACAGTCTGGAAGGAGGTCACCTCGACTTTTACATCTGGTGTTTGGAACTTCTAGAAGGTTCTGGTGGGTGGACCTGAGGGTTCGGGTTGGACAACACATTCTCACACCCAAATCGTCAAATAATGACACGTGTGACCAAGCGTCAAAATATGACGATTAGGGTACCCCAGCGCGTCGGGAGAGGACGCCCTGTGCCAGAGCGTCGGTATCCGATGCCCGCGGTGAGACGGACATTTGACCACCTTGTGAACTAATTAACCTTCCCCTCACCCCCATTCTAACCTCAACTAGGTTGCGCATGCAAAGCTTAATTGGAAATTACTGAGTTAAGGTTAGGATGGGGGTGAGGGGAAGGTTAAATTGCCAGAGGTTCGAGGAATAATGTCTGTGCCACCGCAGGCGTTGGATACTGACGCCCCCGGTGACATGTGTCCCTGCACGTCCGCTCTGGATGCGCTGGGGCACCCTAATCGTCATATTTTGACGCTTGGTCACACTTGTCATTAGTTGACACTTTGGGTGTGAGAATGTGTTGGGTTGGAGCATAAGGCTTTAATAGTTCATTAATATAGGGAGGAGCTTGACCACGTAGAGCCGTGAAAGTTATAATCAGGATTCTAAAATGAACTCTAAAGTTAACGCGTAACCGGTGCAGAGACATTAGAATAGGAGTGATGTGTGCTCTTCTGTTTGCCCCAGTTAGGAGCCTCGCTGCAGAGTTCTGGACCAGCTGAAGGTGGGCAAGGGCTGCTTTTGTTAAAACATGTGAAGAGTGTGTTACAGTAAGACGGGAGGAGATAAAGGCATGGAGAACCATTTCAAGTTCATGTTTTGACACCAACCTTCGGAGGTTGGAGATATTTCTTAAGTGATAAAAACAGTTTTGAACCTATGTTTTTGAGTGGCCTTCAAGAGACATTGAGTGGTCAATAACATCCTAAATCCTCAAGTTTGTCTCGACAGCAGAAGATAAATAACCACGTTTTTTGACTAATCAGGTGAATCAAGGGAACGTCTCAGGGGCATTAATCTATTTAGTCTTTTTAGAGTTCAAGTGAAGGAAGTTATCTTCTAGCCAGCTGGTGATGCTGATAGATACTCTAGTAATTCAGACAGTTTATGGAACTCAGAATCCTTAAAGGAGCAGTACAGCTGAATGTCATCTGCATATAGGTGATAAGAGACATTATGAAAAGAATCAATTATGTGTCCAAGAAGGTGTATGTGTCAGAGTCCCTGCCTTCAGACAATCCTCCTCCAGCCAACCAGCTTCTGCCTAGGACCACAACTCCCAGCAGCCCCTCTCCGGGATTCCCATCATTCTCCACCTACGTCACCAACTGCGACTATATACAGAAGTCGCCTCCCATCTCACGTCACTCACTCATCATTTCTTCGAACTTATGTTCAGAGTAATCAACCATCCAATTCTCCCAACAAACTTTGTTCACCCAGTAAGTGCCCTTTCTTACTTCTGGAATAGCTCAGCGCTTCCATTCCGCTGCCAGCTGAGCAGCTGATGGCAATGACCCTTAATTGGCTCACAGAATTTATATAAGCCACACCCCTCCAGAGGAAACTGTTTGGGTTATTCTGTTTGTGGAGAAGTTAACACTGTTTGAAGTATTGAAATGAGGTCTTAAGCCTAAAGCCACCTCAGCTGCACATTGCCGACTGCATCCCCACGTAAGTTTTGCTGTATTGACGCTTTTGTTTGGGTTATTAGTTTGACACTATAGTCATTGTTTGTTTTTCTTGTTCTTGTCCATCACCTAGTCAAAGCTACAGATAAAGCAGCTTTGAGGAATTATTGTTTTGTTTAGCACCCTTGGCCAGCCGAGCAAGGTAAATGTGAGAATGTAATCTATTTCTGTTATGACATCAAAGTTGTGTTCACCTTTTATTTATGCTTTTGTATATCTCTAAACAGTTTTCACGGTGCAACTCGGAGTGAAGTCCAAGGCATTTGGACCAGAGAAACAAATAAAAGTTTATGCACCAGTCGAGGCTCTCCGTTCATTTTCTTCATGGTGCCAGGAGCAGCTACACCCCACCTACGTCACCAACCGCGACTATATACAGAAGTCGCCTCCCATCTCACGTCACTCACTCATCATTTCTTCGAACTTATGTTCAGAGTAATCAACCATCCAATTCTCCCAACAAACTTTGTTCACCCAGTAAGTGCCCTTTCTTACTTCTGGAATAGCTCAGCGCTTCCGTTCCGCTTCGGTCAGAGCTCGGGCATTCCTAGATCAAACCAGGTGCCGGCTCAATCCCAGCACTCGCATTTCCGCGTTGGAAACCAGTCACTTGACCGCTGTGACAGTATGTACTGTAGAAACAAGAGTGGACCCAAAACAGAGCCTTGGGGTACCCCACAGAACAGATGGGTAGAATCTGACATGATTTGGTTTATACAGACACTGTAACTTCTGTTAGAAAGGTACAATCTAAACCAGTCTAGACCAGTTCCAGAGATCCCCACCGAGTCACCAAGTCTGTTAATGAAGGTGCTGAGATCAACAGAGTCAGAAGCTGCAGAAAGATCTAACAATACTAACACTGTGAACTCCCCGTTGTCTGCAGCCATCATGATGTCACTGGAAACTTTAAGCAAACCTGTTTCTGTTGAACGCTTTTTACGAAAACCAAATTGGAATTTATCTAAACTGTTGTGTAGTTCCAGAAATGTAATCAGCTGATCTGCCACAACCTTTTCCAATATTTTAGAGAAAAAGGGTCATTTAGAAATCAGTCTGTAATTTTTTGGCTGAGTCCAGGCTGGTTTTTTAAGGATGGGTTCAACAACTGCATGTTTGAAAACAGAGGGTAACAGAGCCAGATTTTAGAGATAGATTAATAAAATCTACAATGCATGGGCCAATTTGGTTTAACATCTTGACTAGGGATGAGCCGGATACTCGTTTCAGACGAGTATCCGGTACGGATAAAGCGTTTTTGACGAGTACGAGCATGACACGAGTAAAACTGGTAAATATCTGTAATCGTGCTGAAGGAAAATCCTCATTGGGTAACTGACTGTCTTCACGCTCTGTGATTGGCCAGTCACATATAGTGGTGTGCATCTCTACCTGCCTCACAATTCGATCCGAATCCGATTATCTGCTTAACGATTCGATTTGAGTCTGAAATGAATCACGATTCTTCACACAAAAATGTTCATGACTTAATAAAAGCAGTAGAATAGTTTTCAATTTCTTTTTGATTTCGAAATCCCTGAAAAACAGAACATTCATCTATTCACTATAGTGAGTAATAATGTTTAAAGTGTGCTGCCTATAATTACTTAAATAATATAAGAAATAATGTTTTGGGTAGAGCAGCTTTAAGATAGAATACTACTGAACTTAAAAATAGTAAACAAATACTGTGTTAAGTGATTCTTTCACATCCAGGATCCCAAAACCGAAATTAGCCCAGACATCCGATTTAAATGTAACGGGTACATCTTTGATTACTGGTAATGTTGGCCCTGTATCCCTGTCCACCTTTTCTGGTTTAAACTGTTGCTAGGGCAACGCAGTGCGCATGTCATTGCAACTCTGCCCCCAGAAGTAATTATAAAACCACAAAACTTTATTGTCCTGCATAGACAAAGACCAGGGGTCGGCAACCTGTTCCCATCAAAGAGCCATTATTACCCGTTTCCCACAGTAAAGAAAACACCACAGCAGCCGCGGCGTTGTGGGCGGGGCCTACCCTCAGACAGCAGCCGGTACCGGTCGCTCGTGTACGTCAAAGTTATCTTTCATAAGAAGATAATCAATAAAACGATTTAGATAAAGTGGATCCAGAAGTTGTAGCCCGTCTCTGCCGACAATATTTAGATCTTTTTCACCCTGTTGGTGGTTTTACTGAGCAGGTGCCACTTTTGTCATACGTTTCTGTTTAAAACATGTTCAGACTGTTCAGAATACAAATCCAGGCTCTGTCACGTTTGATTGTTGTAATTAAACTTTGTAGGTGGGGAAGGTCAGAAAAGGATCCGATCACTTTGTTTTCCCCTCATTTACAGTGACGGAGATAACGGCGCAGTGCTCCTGGCTCTGGTGGTAATCACATTAAATTATATCTATTTTAACAAGAAAACAGAACAGTTAAAAGCAGGTCTTGTGTTGACCGGACAGTTCCCGTATTTAACCGTTTATTTTGACTGAGAAAGAATAGAAAGAACTACCCCGACGCATGCAGACGAACTGACACTTTATTCGTTTCGCACATCGCAGATGTAGCTAAATCACTTAAGAAATGATTCCCATCTGAGCATCTGAGCTGGACACTGAGCTCAGCGCAGCTCGCTGTCAGCGCGGTCGTACGGCGCACAGCGAGCTGAAGATGTGGAGAGGGGCTTGGAGCACGTCGCAGAACCAGGGCGCATGCAGGAAGATTCCTCCGACTGAAGCGAGACTTG